GTTTGTGGACATTATTAACTGTATATAAGACCCTTAACCTCTTCCTCTAAGACTCTTTGAAGGTTGAGGCCGATATGTGTGTGCTTATATCTGTATTGTTTGATATTATTAAACGTATTATACTTATTTGCTCCGGTAGACAGACGTATTAGATGAATCGGTTGTGCGCAGAAATCAGCTTTTCAAATCTACTCTTCCTCAATCGCAACCCAGCATTTCTAAATTACTTAATTTTTAATTTAGAAAACTTACTTGGATTTTTAAATTCTAAAAATTACTTTATACCGAATCTACTTCTCGTCGTCGTCGTCCTCATTGCTACTTCACCTCGCTAGCTTGGTATCCTTGATGTCACTGGCCTTGTATAGCTCTATTATCCTTCTCAACTCGCTCATCTTGATCAGTATTTCAACTTTTTCTTACATGGCATTTTGTTACTATATTCAGAGTCATCATCATCATCATCATCTGAGGACAGTGAGGCTGAAGAGGAGGAGGAAGGAGAAGAGGGGCAACCGAAGGCTACACAGGACATTGTCGATTACACCGAGCAGGCTACGGTCGACCTACGAAGAACAGGTGCTTTGCATCTAAGGCTTTATTGAAGGAGATTCTACTTTTATTTTCAGTGTACTTATGCATCATGTCATCGGTCAACTTTGAGGAATGTGTTCATAAGATTCTAAGTCTTAATATAAGGGAAGGGCAAGAGAAGGAGGTAGGGGGGCGGAGCGAAGCAATTCATGTTTGTTATTTTTATTCAGATATGTACAATGCTTATCGATTGTTGTGCGATGGAAAGGACGTTCAACAGCTTCTATGCCCTACAGGTAGGCGGAGCGATGCAAGAATCTTCGTCCTTGTCTTTTACTGATGTCATCAACGGGTTGAAAATTTTTCGCCTAATAAGCTTCAAAACTAATAAACTTCAGCATTGCTTGCTTGTTCAGGCCGAAAGATTATGTCGATTGGTCGAAGTGTATCGGCAGAATTTCGAGGCTAACTTCTTGGATCAATACGAAACATGTCATAGACTAGAGACCAATAAGATTAGAAATGTTGCCAAGTTCTATGGTCATCTCCTGGCTACAGATGCTATCAGTTGGGAGGTAGGCATGGTGATGGACGGGTTGAGGGGTAGAGTGGGATTGGTAGGTATTGAAATGCATACAGTTGACAGAGGAGACCACAACTTCTGCTACACGTATATTTATAAAGAACCTCATACAGTATCTTAGTGAGGTGAGGGAGAATACGGTATGAGATTTGGTGATAGATAGGTTGGAGTAGGTATGGGGCTTACGTAAACTATATCAAAGGCTTAACGATGCTAACTATGAGGAGGCATTGGCGGGTATTCTACCGAGGGACACGGCTCATCATATGAGGTAGGGAGATAGAAGGGGGAATGGAAAATGAGATTCTGATGCATTAGATTTGCTATTAACTTCTTCTCGGCTATCGGATTGGGGGCATTGACAAAGAAGCATCGGCAGTTACTAGAGGAGGTAGATGGATCCTGAGGGGCGGTAGAGTAGGGTGGATGCAGGTACAGGCGAAGGAGGCGGCTGAGAGGGCAGCTGCTCAGATTGATGATGATGAGGAGGACTCTAGTAGCGATGAAAGTAAGATAAGTTGTCATCATGCTCGTTCGTTTGGGTTGAGGAATGACACTCGTGGTAGTTTTGGTGATTTACTTTCGCGTGACTTGGTGGGTGTTTAATTTTATTACTGACAACTGCTTAAGTAGAGAGTGAAGCATCTTCCTTGATTGGATGCGTTACATTGTCTTTTCTGTTTCACCGGACATACTGTTGATACTCCGATAATGAAGGGTTAATGTGGACGCTGAAAATGGGGGCAGCTTAGGAGATTTGACTCTCTCTCTCGGATTTTACTGTATCCTAGGATTTCCCTTCTTTCCTGGCAGCACTTCAATAATTCCTGTTTGGCAGGTTCGTCGTCCTCATCGTCCTCATCGTCATCTTCATCCGACTCCGACTCTGACAGTAGTAGTAGTAGCGAAGAGAGTGATAGTGAGGCAGAGAGAAAGAGTAGGTCACCTATAAGGCGACGGAACCGGAAGGATACCAGAGTTAAGAGTGAGGATAGGAGCCCTAGGGCTCGAAGGAGTCAAAGCTATTCAAGGAGGAGAAGGAGGCAAGGTGAAAGGAGGGATAGATCGGCTGAAGGAGACCGTCGACGAAGTGAGCGAAGGGATAGATCGGCTGAAGGAGACCGTCGAC